TTTTTTTTTAATGAGAGAAAAATAACCTTCACTTCAGTGAAACCAGACGACTTTGGGAGTTGGACCTCTATGGGTTCATATATGATTTCTTTTCGCCACAAGTGGCGCGACCTTGGCAAGTCCTCCAGGCCTTCTGGGACTCACTTTCCCCATCTGTGAAATGGAGACAGGATGCCTCCACACGTTTGAGAAGGGCTGAACCGGGCAGCAGGTCCGGGCAGGGGCCGCGCTCCTTCTCTAGGCGCGTGTCAAACAACAGCCCCGCCCGGCGCCCGAAGACTGAGCCCGGGGGCGGGGCGGGGCATCGGGGGCGGGGCGGGGCACCGGGGGCGGGGCGGGGCGCCCGCCGCGACGGAAGGGAGGAGCGGGCCCCCGGGCTCTAGAGCAATGACGCCTGCGCCGGGGTCCGGGGCGCGCACCCTGTGGAGGGCCTGCAACTGGCTCATGGCCGCCTTCTTCTCCCTGGCGGCCCTCGTGCAGGTCAGGCTGGCGCTGGGCGGCGGGGAACGGGACCTGTCGGGCTCCGCGCTCCGCCCCCAGGCCCAGCCTGCAGTAGTGACCAACCAGTCCGCAGAGTGGCAGGACTGGTCAGTTTGTGGGGAGGACAGGAACTGAGATCGAAGCTTGGAGAACCCCAGGGTCTCCCCACCAAAGACGCGGATGTGTTCACATGTGCAAGCCACACACCAGAGAGCCTGACTGGTTCAAATGCTGGAAGGAGCGGGGTCAGCGCATGTCACTTTGAAAGGGACCTCGGGGAAGCTGCACTAGTGCTATTCGAGACATTCTTGGTAGGGGAGCCTGAACAGATCCAAGGGCTGGGGAGAGAAAGCAGAATAAAACTCCTTACAGCCTCAGGAAATCTGCTTTCGGATCCCCTTTATGAAAGGGATAGTTTGCCTCATTTCTTGAGACTGGAGGGTCCTTAGAAAATACCCATTCTAGGTTTGGTGCGTCCTCTTCAGAGTTCCCGAGCAGTTTCTTTTTAAAACCTGCTGTGTTCAGCCAGAAACCCCTTCAGCGGTCCTGATCAGCTAGACTAGCACATGAATAAAGGAGCAGACCAAACAGGAATAGACAGGGCGGTACATCTGCTAACGTGTCCTTGTTTTGCATTCTAGGTCAATGATCCAGACGCAGAACTGTGGGTGGTGAGTATGAGCCGCTTTCAAAATTTTCCTCCATTCAACAGGATTGTGTGGCTGCACAAAACACGCGCTCTTATCTCTTTGTCTCTCCTCTCTGCTTCACTTACTTAAAAACTTAGAAATCAAAACCTTTGTCAAGCTCTGTTTCCCTTGTATTTTTAGAGGGGGGAGAATCAGTGTGATAAGGTGTGGTGTGGTGGTGGGCGGGGCGGGGTTAGGGGTGGAGAATTCCAAACTCTGAGGACAGAGGTCTTTTCCACATCACCTTAATTATACTAGACTTAATAACAGTATGACTAGGTATCATTTGCCAAGTGCCAAGTTTTCTAGTCACTTTCCATGCATTATTGCTAACCTTTATGACAACCATCTAGAGGGTGTGTGTAGATTATAGGCAAACACCTGAGTATCCACAGATGTTTAGTATCCTGGGGCTGAGGGTAGGGGTGGTCCTAAAACCAATTTTCATGGATACCAAGGGACAGCTGTATTCCCTTTGAATAGATGGCCTGAAGACCCTGTTCTAGGGCCTAGAGGAGACCTCTCAGCATCCAGTAAACTAACTGTTCCTTATGAGTTACCATCCAGAAACTCTAGCAAGCATTGGAATGGGGAATGATAGGCTTTAGTTCTGTGGTTCTGTTAACTGAGTGAATTATTTTTATAGAAACTAATTAAACTCCACAAAACCTAGAGCATTCATTTAACCAGTGCTCCTGAAACATCTACTACATTTCCTGAAACATCTGAATTTTGCCCAGTGTCTTTGAATATAGAAGCACAAAGCTGTAGAGCATCACAGGGGAAATGATTCTTAGATTTTGGAATAATGTTGACCGTGTACAGAATGAGCAGCCAACGAGAGCTCTGGGAACTGTATGTAAAATTCTAGTCCTTTTTTAGTGCAGTAGAGAACCACCTTCTCATATTGCCTGTAATCCAATTTCACATTCCCCTGAATCAAATCAGATTGTCTCTTCCTTAGCACTTTGGTTCATATCCTAGGTTCCAAATATTATTTCCCTGCAGACAAATGTCAGATTTCAAACTTAATGTTGAATTTCTGAAAGATTGCAAGATATATCTGCCTGTATATCATGCTACTCCTCAAATATGCCGAAGCTCCTACCCATATCTTTCTCCCCAAAACTCATTCCTCCTCCTGACTTAGCCATGTCTATTAGCAGAATCATTCACTGAGTCATCCTTGACATCTCTGTGTTCCTTACCCACTATCTTTGAAATCCCCTCAACAAACAAAATAAAAAGCAGTTTAATGAAAATAATCTAGGTCCAATTGCTTACCTGTGTAGTGCCTGTACATTTTATCTTTCACTTCAAGTTTAGGATACATAATATGAAAAACAAATTTCATGTCCCCAAAAATCTCCCTCATTCCCAGTTCAGTCCTCCATTACTTCTTCTGTAGGCATTTTATTTATTTATTTATTTATTTATTTATTTATTTATTTATTTATTTATTTATTTATTTTTGGCAGTACCTGGGATTGAATTTAGGGCCTTGCACATGCTAGGCAAGTGTTCTACCACTGAGCTATATCCCCAGCCCCATTACCTCCTCTATGGACCCCTGGATTGACTTCCCAACTCTTTTGTTTACTTCTAATCTTCTATTCCTAGAATATTTCCTGTATGTCACTGTCTGCTCCAAAAACTTTTGTCATTTCTCCATCTAAGTCAAAACTCCCCAATTTGGATTTGAGGTCCATCATAGTACGGCTCAGCCACCTTCCAATCATGGTCCAGCAAGCATGATTACTGTACCTTGACCCTAGAATTTCTGTATGTCATATTCTACCCAAGCTTCAAGGACTGTCTGTCCTCCAAATGCTATTTCATCTGACAAAATCTGCCACCTTCCCAAAAGTTCTGACCATTCTTCCTTTGCACCCTATTACGGCACCAACACATTCAGTTTTGCATTACAGTTGGTTTTGTGTATCCCAGGAGGACAAGGGCAGTTCTTTCCTCTCCTTGGGACCCTTTAGGCAACCTAACATAGAGCCTCCATTATAGAAATTCTTTCTGCATTGATTGACYCTTAAATGGATGGGAGAATAAGTAGATGCACAGATGAACAATTACTAGGTCATTGTACCTGGCGGGCTGGTACTGYATCCAACTCATTTCCTCGTTCCCTAGGATGGAAAATCTGATTAGAATATCTCGCTTAAAAAGTCCRAAGATAGCTGATCAACAGTGTCATCAACAGTCTGAATTTTCTTCCATCCTCATGTTTAGAGAATGGCTGCTGCAACTCTGCAAACATCTCATCTCCAGAAAAGTGTATCCCAAGTAGGAAGAAGCAAAGCAGAGCCAAATAAGCTTTCTTCCTGTGCTTTCGTCACTTTTATGAGAGAGAAAAATGTTTTCCAACAAGTCCCTTGGACAGTTTGTACATATCAGTATTGCATATTGTCAGGGCTCCATTCTRTTTGGGCAGCATCCATACATACTGGTTGCTAAATGCTTTTTGTATATTATTAGCCTTACCCCTGGAAGATGTCTCCTTATATTTCATTGCTGGAACATGAACACTCAGAGCTGTAAAAGAGACTGGGAAAATGGTTTTTGTAGGGACAGGTGGACAAAGGAGAGTGGTATTAGGAATGACTGCCATGGTAATAATTGTGTGTTGAATTAAACTAATTATTGCAAATGAATAACATGATACCCTTCATTATTTTTCTTAATTCCAGCAAAAATATAAAAGACCATTTCAAGTGGGTTCTACTGAGTTCATGATTACTTTTATTATGCAGTTTTAACTTGTGTACTGGAAACAGTTATTTTCAGTCTTTCTGCTCTCCATAATTTTTTATCTAATTCAAGACAGAGAAAAGCATCTAAATAAGGATTAATGTGTCACAACTGCCACGACAAACTGTTATTTAAAGGACTGTTTTGTTCCTATGTTTCCATACACTGAAATAAGGTTTTAGCCTGCTTAATCTATTTATGACAGATCTCCAATGAATTGAATGTCTCTAAGTGTGGTCCTTGGCAAAACAGCAGTAGCACCCATGGGACCTTGTTAGAGTAGCAGGATCCTGGGTCCTCCACCAAACCTGCAGAATTAGAATCTATAATTTTAAGAAGATCTCCAGATGATTCCTATGCACATTAAAGTTTGGACAGTGCTGTTCTAACCTTAAGTAGCGTGATCCTCCACCTTAAGAGATTACCTGATTTGCAAATATCACTATTAGGAAAGATGAACACAGGGTCTGTAATCCAAATGTTCTCTCTGCCCAAGCACAAGACAGACACTTTTATAATGAAAACAAATCACATAAAATGTACAGCTCTCACAACTTCCAAATAAACTAAAGGTTTGACATAAGCATTGCAGTTGATGTGGGTAAGCAACTACATTTCTAGGAAAGTTCCCATGCTTCTTATAAGACTACCTTTCCTACTTTTTCTGTGTCCACAACACAAATACACGGTAGAAAGTTTGGCCACAGTCTGCTTGCTACAAATGAGGCTTGGGAACAGGGCTTCTTTAGGGCCAGTCTTCTAATTTCCAAACAATTACCTGTTTCAAAAAGAACCTGATCTTAATGTTGGATACAATCCATAAATTTTTAGAATATTTGATGTGGCCTCACAGAGATGGTCTATTGGTTCATCCCAGCAGGGCCATCTAGCTAATCATGGCTGTCCCTGCTCTACTTTTCAAAGAACATTTCTTTTATACAAGTGGGGAAGGTCATTTGTGCCAGGTTTCTGTTTGAGACTAAAAGGCTCAGGGGTCACTCCAGGAAAATTGGGTTAACTGGGCTGTGCAAAATAACTACACAAGAGACACAAATACCTTTTTCTTTGGGGTCGCTGTGACGGCTCCTCTGACTTTAAGGGTCCGCAGGAAGAGAGAGAAAGAGGACATGCACTAACCTCATATTTTATAGAGGAGAAGCTATTCAAATGAGGCAAGGGGTCAGGTTTCAGGGTGCTGAGTGTATCTTCACGATGTCCACTGTCAGCAGGTTGACTGACACCTGGGTAGGCCACACCCAAGGGCACAGTAAGAGAAGGGGACACACATACAAGGCACTTCATGGAAGATTCTATCCTAAACAGGGCAAGGGGTTATATTACAAAGGAACAGGTGAGCATAGCTCCACCTATGGGGCTATAGGAAGACATGCCCAGGCACGAAGACAGTCACTTGAACCATAGAAGAGCAGGGCAGTGTAGCAGCATGGGTGCCTGACGCCACGTCGCCCAGCAGGAGAATTAACTCAGTCACGTGCGTGCGAGGTTGAGGTTGGTCTCCCACACATTTGGGCCTCAGATTTTCTTAGAAGACACTGGGGAGTCCACGTGTCTTAAGATCCAGATTTTATGCTCAATGATAGAGCTTGAAGATGAATGAGCCTTTCCTGAAATAGCTGAGGGTAAAATTACAACCCAACACGGTCATCAGGTTATACAAGCAATTCATTCTGAAACCTAGAGGTGAATAACGGCTGATTTCATCTTTGTTTTTATTCTAGATACATCTGAACATCTCATATGCTGGGCATAYATCTTAACCCATATATCTCCTCTTTTTTGCTAACAGGTGGTATATGCTGTACCTGCAGTACTGACCCTGCTTGTAGGAGTTAACCCTCTTGTCACAGGTATGACCGCTGGATTCTGAATAGAGATTCAGCAAATCAGATTTTCTTGTAACAGTGCTAAACTACCTGCTAATCTCCCAGGAAAAGCACAGGACTCTCTAGGGATTTCTTCTCATTTCTGATAACAAGAAGGGGCTAATGCTAATCTAGATCATCCTTACCAGTCTTAGGAAAACTTCACAAGGACTCGAAATAGTAAGCTATTCTTTATCAATTTGAACCCAAGACTTCTCATGCTGACATAGAATAGTGGTTATGTCGTTTAGCCCATAAGAGAGAAGAATTGCAATCACTGCATTGATTTCTTAAGCCACCACACTAATATAAAACCAGCACAGACATAAATGCTTATCCTGTGTTCTCATACTCAGTGGCAGTCAATGCCTACTATATGTTTATTATTTATAACCCTTTGTGAACTCATTTTCCTTACAAGTTCTTTGTAGGGTAATATCACTCCCATGAATTTTTTTTTACTTTGAATTTATTTAAAATCTATATGTATGAGGTGCCGCTTATGAATAAATTGTTTATAATGTGTATCATAAATCTCTATGTATATCATTTCTAATCTCCTTAAATATCATCATAGTACCTGTAGCAATGTATTGTACATTTTTATATTTCTTCCTACCACACTTCTTAAAAGTAGGTTTATATCATATGCTTTTGCATAAACCTAAATGTATACAAGTCTTAATCCTTTCAGGTTGCTATACCAAAAGTATCAAAGACTAGGCAGTTTATAAGCAATAGAAATTTATTTTCCCAGTTCCGGAGGCTGGAAAGTCCAAGATTAAAGCACCAGCAAATTTGGTGTCTGATGAGAGTCCTCCCTCCATGGTAGAAGGGACAAAGAAAACTTCTAAGATCTGTTTTTATAAGGGCACAAATCCCAGTCATGAGAGCTGTACCTTTATGAACTGATTACTTCCCAAACGCCCATCTCCTAATACTACCATCTTAAGGGTTAGGGTTCCAATGTATGAATTTGAGGGAGACACAAGTATTCAGTCCTTAATTATATGGCCAGGCATACAGAAGGTACTCAATGGTTGCTGAATAAAAGAATGACTGTAAAGCAGAGCTTTGTCATATATTTATTCTGGAACCAGCTTCTTAAGATTCTCTCTCTCTCTCTCTCTCTCTCTCTCTATATATATATAGAGAGAGAGAGAGAGAGAGAGAGAGAGATGGGTATATCCCGGGGGTGTATATATGTAAAAAATGAACTTAAAATAACTGGTTTATTTTAATAACTGGTTTGTATTGCCTATAGACTACCTAACTCAATGCAACAGTATCTTATAATGAAAAAAAAATGTGTGTGTGTGTTTTTTTTTTTTATTCTTTACTTTCTCTACAACAGCTTCTAACTAGTAGGGCTCAGATACTTTTAGAATAAAGACTAATGATTGCCATGTTGAAAAAGTCTAACTCCTTGGAAGCTCTGGGCTCCTCCTATAGGCCCTTAGATCTGTGTCTGCATCTTTAAGGTGAATTGGTTAGGGCTCCTTTAGTGATAAGCCAGAAGGAACAGAACTCTCAAGTGTTATGACCCAAGAAGAAACATACTGGTACAGTTTGCTGGAAAGGCTGCAGATGGTGGTGGACCCAGAACTTCTCTCCATCTCCCTTTCCACCACCTGCAGATCTGACCTCACTCCTGGGCTCCACTTGGTAGCTCTGCAGCTCCCCGGTCACTACATCAGCACACTAAGTCCAACAGAATAGATGTTCTGTTTCTGCACCCTACAAACATCTCAGAATTGTGTTATTGGCCCTGATGCGTCATCTGTTTATCCTGAACCAAATCACTGTGCCTAAGGGAGTGAATGCTTTGGTGGACCTATCTAAGGTCCAGTTTGCTGGCACACATGGACTAGGGGTTGAAAAGGATGGATCCCCAAACAAAATAAGGGTTGGCATCATAGGAAGGAGAGATGCTAGGCAACCAACCAAGAAAAGTCCATTGATGTTTACAATTAATGCTCTAACCTATGTTGTCCCTCAAAAAGAAAGTGTTTTGTTGTTGTTTCTGAATGCCTTTCTTGAAAGCAGATTATGACAATACAAGCACAAACAGGTCATCAAGATATGAATTTTTAGGTCACTTTATTTGGAAGAGTGTCTCTGCAGTCCACATATCGTTTTGCCTGGTGTGGGCCGCTGGCTTGGCGTACCACTTCTTACTTCACACCCAACATAACATCTTACATGAAGAGGAAGGCAGGTGAGTAGGGACTTTGGCTCTTTGGAGGGGTGGAGCAGAACTGAGAGATCTTTTATTCTTTTACAATGCCACCTTATCTATGCACAGTGATGATTTCATTCCCCCCACCACTATACCATAAGGAGCAGGGAAGGTATTATATCCTCCAGAAGCTAATGAAACTGAGGAAGTGGTGTAGCCAGGATTTAAACCCAGCACTCCTATGAGACTCCATGATCACCATTACCCATAGTCATKACCTAATCCATTATATAACTGTCAGGTAGTTGACCTTGATCTCCTTATAAAGAGCAAGGTTACAATACAATAACAGTCTAATCTGATAAGGTGATAACTGCTAGTATTCTGACTCAATTCTGATGAARTCAAAATCATGTCTACAATTGTGAGCAGCCACCTCAGAGGACAATATTTTAAATCAGCCTCTGCTAGCCCTGCCCTGCTGTGTCTTGTGTCATTTTCTTCCTTTTGTCATAACCATTTGTTCCTATTTTAGCAACAGTTCCTTCACATCCTTCCACCCTTGATTCTCAGTCATATTAAGAGCCCCTTTATTTTATTTTCTACACCCTGTTGGCATCTGCCAACATTGACCCTCAAAGACCTGTAAGGCATCCCTGATATGGTGTGGCTTTGCCATGGTAACTTTATTTAGGATCTCTTACTGGAAAACTGGAGAGCAAATCCAGCTTGGTCTGTCAACCAAATGGGTTAAATTGCTTCCAACTTGAAGCCCAGGAGTTATGCTGAACTCAAGGTGGGGCTTCCAATGTACCATGGCTAAATGATTTTATTTAGTACTCTTTGTAAAAAGTATGTGCTTATAATATTACATATCTAGAAGCATATATCCACCCCCAAATTGTTAGTCTGATTCATTCTAAAACCCATTCCTCTGCCATAAGAAGTGTCCCAATCTCCTGCAGTATGTATTATAAATTATGCATTGGTTTGAGCTCATCCACTGAAAGCTCTWAAACATGTAAAAATAATGATTAATCAAATATGAGATTACTTTCTGCATTTTACTGTCCTTCCAGTAACCTAGAGTAAGAATCTGAGTGTTTTCTTGTTGTTTGGTACTGGGGACTGAACCCAGGGGTACTTTACCACTGAGCTATATCCCTAGTCTCTTWATTTTTTTTATTATGAGACAGGGTCTCATTAAGTTGCTTAGGGCCTTGCTAAGTTGCCGAAGCTGCCCTTGAACTTGTGATCCTCTTACTTCAGCCTCCTGTGTTGCTGGGATCCACAGACATGAGCCATTATGCCCAACTCTGAGTGGGTTTTTAGATACTTAATTCTGGAGGGCACACTTTATAAATTTAGGCAACAATCATGGATCTCATATCTGCCCCTTTATTTGAAACATATCTTCATATAGGCTTTAAATTCTGAAATAAAGTAATTTATGAATCATGAGCATATTTGAAAATATCCTATAGATGCTTTATATTTTGAGGGAAAGTTACCTAATCAGAATGCACTATCAAGTGGTCATGGAGACAATGTGCTAATACGTTTCTCACTTGCAGCCACTTCAAAAATTTGAAATATATGCTATTTTTACAGGGAGCTGTCTGGTCTGGTGATTATCACAGCATGGATGAGCCTCTGCCACAGTTCATCAAAGTAAGTTTTCAAGTCATTAAAGTCAGATACCCCTAGGGTTGATAAAATCAGGTAGTAAGTGAAACTTCACCAATCAATGAAAAAAGGAATCTTCTGAAAGAAATTACTCCTTTTCCTAAGGAAAACTGATCAATAATCAAATAATAGTTGATTCAAATGTTCATAATAATTCATATGATCATGAAAACCATAGTTTCCTATGTACCCAGTTGCCAGACTAAAGAGCATTCTTTAAGAAGGAAAATGACCTCTGAAGGAAGCTTGAAGATTCAGGAAAGCTTTAATAGTATCTGCATCACCTTTTAATCATGGCAAAAWCTCTAGTGTCTGTGACTTCAACATAGCTGATTTATCTTACAATACAAAATAGCAAATTTTTGTTGGGTTTGGAGATAGAATCCAAGGGCACTTTACCACTGAATACATCCCCAAGGCTTCTTTGTTTTGTGACAAGGTCTCATTAAATTGCTGAAGGCCTTGCTAAGTTGCTGAGGCTGGCCTCTAACTTCCTCTAATCTTCCTGCCTCAGCTTCCCATACAAAATAGCACTTTAATAACAATTCTCAAAATAACAAGTATGGCTACTGAAAACAGGTTTTGTGTTTGTTTTTGTCATTAGGGTATATCTCACTAACAGATACATTCAAATTATCAGGATAGTTCAGGGATAGTGGCTCTGTGTATTGATGCCACCAAAGTGAATACATAGATTGATTTATTTCTGGGGATAATTTTACTAAAAATTTATTGATTTTTCTAATTATGTAAAATACCCACATGGTTCCAAAGCTAAATCTACAAAATAAGATATATTCAAAGAATATAGCTTCTCTATCCCCCTGACCCTATATATCCCATGGTTTTACAAGTGTAGCAAATTATGTGCATTTATTTGTATTCCTACTCATCTCAGTTGCATCCCCTTTGCTTTCTCACTTACTACATCTTGGAGCTCATCCTATAGTATCACATAAAGAATATTCCTTTGAGAGATACCTGGATTATTCACCCAGCTTTTTCCTTTAGATGATACTCAGTATTTTGCTATTGAAAAATAGTGCTGCACTGTGATACAAAGAAAGCATTCAATAATTACTACTTTTAAAAAAATAAAAACTAATATCTTTATTCTTGTATCTAACATATTTTTACTGTCATGTCTTTGGAATGAATTCCTGGAAGTGGGACTGCTGGGTTCCAGTACAACTGCAGAGTTAATATTTCAGTGTGCTCTTGAATTCTCCTCCATTGGAGCTGTTCCATTTTGTATCCCCCCACCACGCCCCAGCCAAGGGTGAAAGTGCCTGATCCTCAGAAGCTTCTCCAAAAGAGAATGCTATCAAATTTTTAAATCATTACTAATTAGATAATTAAGAAAGGTATCATTTTAACTTGTATTTCTCTTATGAAGAGCAAAGGTGGGAACATTTTCATATGGTTAATATGTTAAATAAAGATGTTATATACTTCTATCACAATATACATAGCACCTATGTGTATTTTTAAAACAAATTTGAATTTTCTATGAAATGTTAGTTTATCTCTGGGAGATACAGGATTAACCTGAGTCTTCCTCAAGTTATTAGTCTTCTCTATTTTTAGAAGCTTTTTATATATTATAGCTAGTGAACTTTTTCTCTAAGTTAAAAAATATATATATATATATATTGTATTTTCTATTGCACTTTATTTTGTTTCTGAAAAGTAGCATAAAAAGCTTGTTGTTGTTGTTTTAGTAAAACCAAATTTATCCACTGTTTTCCTTATTAATTCTGCATTTGGAGCCATAGTTAAGAAAATATACCTCCCTCTCAAGTTGTAAAGCAACTTCCATACATCTTCTTCTAATTCAGATGTGGTTTCACTTTTGTATTTAAGTCTTTAGAATTTATCCTGGTGTAATGAGATAAAGAATGGGACCAACATTTTCTTTTTGCATATAGTTTTCTGTTTATCTCAGCACCATTTATTAAAAATTGGCTTTAAGATGCCAAAGCACTTTTTAATGACAAAAGTTTCCCCTCATCAAGGCAAACAGAAAAGGAGAAAACAATTAAATGAAAACTTGACCTAAAAAAAAAAGAGAGAATTAACAAGGCCAAATTTATAGATTCTCTAAAATGATTTATAACATTGATCTGCCCTGGCAAGACGAAAATGAAAATAAAAAATCAAGAGGAGGCACAAATAACAAATACCAGGGATGAAAGAAAGAACAGTATGACATATCTAACAGATATTTTAAAATTTATAAGARGATATAATGAACTACTTTATGCCAGTAAATTTGAAAATAAAGATTAAGAAAACAAATTCCTTAAAAGTACAATTGACCAAAACGTTTACAGAAGAAATACAAATCCCATAACTATGAAATAAATTGAATACAGAATTTATATTTTTTCCTAAAAGAAAACTCCAAACCTGGATGGCATAGCTGGAAAAATCTAACATTCTTGGAGAAATCATACCCACAATCAACAAAGACTTCCAGAAAAAGTAAAAGAAGAAATGCTTTCCATCTCATTTTATGAGAGAAACTAGTAATCTTGAAACCACATCTTGCCAAGAACATTATAAGACAAAGAGAATTTTACAGTACTCTTACCCATGACCACAGATGGAAAAATCTTGAAAAAAAATTAACCAAATCCTACAATATAGAACCCAACCAACAAGTTGGCTTTATTCTAGTAATTATAATTAACACTACAAAACCTACCAATGTTTTCTACATTGATAGAGTAAGAAAGTGAAGTATCTTGAACTATACAGAAAGAGCATTTGATAAAACTCAGTATTCAATCATGATAAAAGCTCTTACAATATAGGTTTAGAAGGGAAGTTAATCTGATAAACAGTATCTACACCAATGTATGATAGTTGATGAACAGTAAACTTTTCCTGTGAAATCAGGAATGAGATAAATTAGTTATTTCTGCGATTTCTCAACACTGTTTTAGCTATTGTAGCCCATACATTAAGGCAAGAAAAGGAAATAAAAGGCTCAAGGATTGAAAACAAACTTATTTGTTGGTGATATTACTGCATATAAAGAAAAAAGGATCTAAGAGATTATTAAAATTAATAAGTGAGTTTAGCATGATGCCAGGTTTCTAAGTAAATATACAAAAACAAACTACATTTCCATCAGCAATTAGCAGAAGGTGGTAAAAATGAAAAGTTACTATTTATAAGAACATCAAAGTAATAAACCTCCTAGTAATAAATTTAGGAGAGATACAAAAACATTGCATGCAAAATTATAAAGAAAACCTGAAGAACTAGAGGGATAAACTACTACTGGCAAAAGGATACATAAACAAACTAATGCAACAGAGTAGAATCTAGAAACAGATCCATATGTATGTAGACCATTGACTTATGGCAAAAGTAGTACTACAGTGTAGCCAAGAAAGGCAGACTTCAATAAATAATGCCTGGACCATGAATGAAATTCCAATATGGAAAAAAAAAAAACGAAACAACTTTTACCTCACAACTTTCCTAAAAATCAATCCCAGGTGGGTTATAAAGAGGMAAAACAATAAAGCTTCTAGAGAAGATAAAAATATGTTCAAGACCTTTCTAGAGAAGATAATATCTTCAAGACCTTGAGGATCTTAAGCAGGACATAAAAATCATTAGGAAAAGATCAATTTAACATTATCTAATTAATTAATGTTCTTCAAAAGAAACCATTGAGTGGAAGAACAAGGTATTTTGAACATATATAAATAAGGATTTGGTTTAACTATAAAGAATTTCTACAAATCATTGAGTGCATTATATTTTAAAATTTGAGAAGAGACCAATTAAAATGTAACTTTAACCAATTCAATCCTTACACTTGTTTCCTAAAGAATGTATAACTTTGATTGAAATTTTTAATAAAAATTTTATGTGTCTTTATAGGAATCCAGTTGGTGGAAGAATTCAGTTGGTTGTTGCTACTGCAATTGCTCTTTTCCCACTTATCTCCTGGGTCTATGTATATATAAACAAGGAAATTCGGTCTTCCTGGCCAACGCACTGCAAGACAGTATTTTAAATGAACCCAAGAATTGTATTTTAAATGAGAAATTTTAAATGAGAATTTTCAACTTTATTTTATAAACATTGGGGGAACAGGACAATTTCCCAGTTTATTTCAGGTAATTTGTGCTAATACTGAAGATGATGTTTTAAAAGTCTTTAAGAATTTTCTAAGATTGCTTACAGTACAAGGTAAGATTGGATGAAACAGTAAGAATGGGGATTCTCCGGATGCCTTTTGTAAAGGGTGTTCTTCCATAATATAATGAAAARGCACTAGAACAAAAGTTGTGAACCATGAGTTCTTCCAGGCATCATGATGCATGCTTGTGGTCCCCACTAATCAGGAAGCTGAGGCAGGAGGATTACTTGAGGCCAGGAGTTTGAGGCCAGCCTAGGCAACACAGCAAGATTCCATCCTTCCAAAAATAATAAAGTAAATTCAGTATCTAAGTGACTTGGGCAAATATATATAGGAAATTTCCTTATCTATAAAATAGAATTAATATGTGATGGGGCCCTACTTATACAGTTGCTATCATCAAACTATGAAAATATTAACTATTTATGGATTACAAAGGGCTATCCATGAGTAAAATAGAGGAGAGCAGAGTTTGGGTAATACATTGAAGTAGAGGTTGTTCAAGAGAGGCCTATAGCCCTGAACTAATCACAGGAGAGTAAACTGGTACTATGGTACGAAATAAATGAGGACTCAAGAAGCCAATGAACAGGCATAACTTGAAAAGAAAATGAATGAGGATTAAAAAGGAATTTGGGACCAATCAAGAAAAAAAGCAGGATATTAATTATTCATAATTACTCATTATTCTAAATGAAAAATTTATACTACTTTTTAAAAGGAATATTCAAAGTAACCCCAAGGAGAGGATTTTAGAGCTACACTCTCCCAACATGGCAGCCACTAATCACATGTTGCTACTGAGCATTTCAGATGCAGTTAGGGTAACCAAGAAAGTAAGTTTCTAATTTTTTTCTACTTACTTTTAATTTAAAAATTGACATCCAATTATTGGAAAACTGTGAAAAGGTTTTAGAACAACTTGGGCATGGGAATCTTTTTCAACTATCAATTTGGTCTGTATTTGATATCTAAATGCAGATCAAGCATTCCCAACAAAACTTTAGTATCCAAATGTAAAGTACACAGTAGATTTTAAAGACATTGTACAAAACGAGAGGATGTAAAATATTTTTATATTAATGTTAAAAAGATAATATTTTATGATAATCGGGTTAAATAAAATATGTTAATTTTACTTTTTTAAATGTGTCTATACAGTGTGTTGAATTTTGTGGTTCACCTTGCATTTCATTTGGACAGTGCTATGAATATCTGGATGGCAACTTTTTAGCTTATGCTAGCATAAAATTTGGATTTCATCTGATTAGTCAGATACTCAGTTTCATGAGATTTAGGAAATACTTTACTCAAAAATAATTAGTGGGAAGAATTAGTACCTACTTGTCAGAAAAACAAAAATGAATCTGATAGTTTTTCTTTTTATAGTCTTAAATACAACAGTAAGTATTCTATAAATATCTGTTAAATGAGGTAGGCAATTTTTTGCACGGGGGAGGGGTCGCGATGTTTTTGATACAGTGGCCACTAAACAGACATAAATTCTTCATCAACGAAAAATTAATCAAGTTGGTATTAAAGCAGCTAAAATGCAAAAGTGTAATTTATTTTAAAGGTCAATAAAATGCATATAGTACATTGGGTTTTTTTCCAGTGTCTATTTAGCTTACATGTTATTTATGACTTTTATACCTCCTTTCAAATAAGCTATTAAAGACACACACAAAGGAATGGACTCTTCGTAAACTCTSTGTATGTCCTGCTACTCCAAGTTATGCTTGATTCCTGTGCTTAAATGTTAGCAATATCCAAGATATAGTTTCATAGCATTTGCATTTCCCTTATTAGACTATGAATTCTGCAAATATTCATAGTAATGTTTGCATCTCAAATTAAGTATATAAAAGACAATAATTTAGCCAGATGAACACCAGTAATCCCAACTATTCCAGAGGCCGGGCAGGAATAATGCAAGTTCAAGGCCAGCCCGGGCAATTTAGTGAGAACCTGTCTCAAAATGAAAAGGAGAAAGGGCTGGGGATATAGCTCAGAAGTACAGCATTTATATACTCTGCAGGAGGTCCTGGGTTCAATCCCCAGTACTGGAAAAAAAACAGAAAAAGAAAGCAAGCCCCAACACTAACTTTTGGTGGAGTGCTCATTTTGAAAAAAGAGCCTGTGTTAATGAACTCATTTTTAAGCTCTATTTTCCTACTGAATTTATGAATTATTTTTAATTCAGCATTAAGAGAATAAAATCATGGCATTTACAGGTAAATAGATGGAGTTGGAGAATATAATGCTAAGTGAAATTAGCCAATCCCAAAAAAAACAAATGCCGAGTGATTTCTCTGATTTAAGGATGCTGATCCATAATATGCTGCAGGCAGGGCAGGGATGGGGGGGGGATATTAAATGAACTCTAGATAGAGTGAAGGGAAAAAAGGGGAGGGAGAGGACATAGGGGTAGGAAAGATGAGGAATGYGATGGTCATCATTACCCTAAGTACATGTCAGAAGACAAGAAGAATGTGACTCTACTTTGTGTACAACCAGAGATATGAAAAATTGTGCTCTAAATGTGTAATATAAATTGTAATGCATTCTGCTGTCATATAACAAATTAAAATTTTAAAAATCTGTCTTCCCAAACCTGTCTTCTTCCCATTGTCCCTCTTAGTATATAAGATTCTTTTTTTACTGACAAATAGATGTAATTATGTTTTTCTCAGCTCAGAAACCCAATAACCTTTCACTGAGTCCAACAAGAGGTAAATTATCATTCTTGGCTCATCATTCAAGGGTCTTCACAATATAGCCTGGTCTGTCCTCCTTTATTTCTTACCAAACCCCTGAGCATCTATGGGTGAGTCCTCATAGCATTACTTGCCTCTTCTAAACTCAATCTTTTGATGCCTCTGCTTATATTTTTTCCCACTTTTTCAAACCATTTTTCTTCCTTTTTTTCATGACATTTCTAATCCCTTCAAATGAAATTAGTATTTTTCCTCCACATTCCTAGTCTTTTCTTTATATGACAACCAGTTTCACATATTCGTATTTATGGATGCCTTTCACTCCCAATAAAGGTCAGTGAATACAAGAGCACATTATAGTCACCTGTGTGGCAAGCTGAATAACAGGCCTCAAAAGACATCTAGGTCCAAATTCCTGGAACCTGTTAGCTTGTATTGCAAAGTAATATGTGAAGATACTGGGAGGGGGAGATTATCTGGATTATCCAGATCCAGATGGGCCTTAAGTATAATCATAAATGTTCTTATGGCAGAGAGATGTGATTACACAGAAGAAGGTGATGTGACAACCAGAAACTGGCTTTGAAGGTAGAGGAAGGGGCCATGAGTCAAGGAATTCAAAGGTGCTGCTTGAGACTGGAAAAAAAATTCTGCCCAGAGCCTCCTGAGGGGATGTAGCTAGCCAATACCTTGACTTCAGCMTGGTGAAAATTATTTTAGACTTCTGACCTCCAGAACTTCAGAGAACAAATGCATGTGGTAAGTCACCAAGTGTGTAGGAATTTGTAATAGAAGCTGTAGAAAGCAAATACATCTCTGCAGTACTACAGTACCTAGGTACTCAATAAGCACACAGTAACAGTTGACTAGTATTTCTTGTTTTTGGTCCTCAAACCTTTTCTATACTTAGAACAGTTTCCATTTTCTATTTAGTACGGGTTTCTGCAAGTAAGCCTTGTCACAACTGATTCAAACATTGCCCGTTTGTTCAGAAAGTCCTAAGTAAGGGTGAATCGACTGACCAGCCCGAGTGTGGCCTCACTGAGTACTAGTGGGTGGGACACAGTAGCACTGGCACTTGGCTTTGCTTTGGTTAGAATCATAAAAGGGCCCCAGGACTTCTCTGTACACCCCTCTTGGGGATGGAGATGCCATACCAACTGTAAAATAACGACCAAAGGGGCTTTGTTCACAAAACAGGATTACAAGCCTATAAAGTATAGGTATTCTGAGCTAAAACTGTCCAGAGTTCACTCACACTGCAAGGTGAAAGGAAAAGTTATCCTGAGCTTTATTTATTTTTATTATAAATTTTAAGTTCTGTAGTTAACACATGAATATACTCACCTTGTAAAATGAATTTAAAAATATGGTAAGGTCAAATAAAGTCCCTTATCAGTACCAGATGTCCCCACCATCAGCCCCTCCCTGGTTTATTCTCTTTCTGACTTTCGGCACTAGAAATATTATCCAAAAATACACTTCTGAATATTTTATCAACTAACACACTGAAGCCAAGTATACATTTTGTTATGTAAGCAGAATACAGAACAATGGGATTGAGAATTTTTATTTTGTTTTCCTTTTTGTATAGTAGGGACAAATACAAGCAAAGTCACTCTCTTCCTTCAAAGGCAAATAAAACAAGTCAGACTAAAAGTTGAGGGCTTTTTCCTTCTTATAATTCATAATTCGGTCTGGAACTCTGCCTCTCCCTTTCAACACCATTTTGTCAGGATAGACGTGAACTGTGCCAAAGGCTTGGCTGACTGGAGCTGTTTCAATAACTCCTTCTAGGTTGACATGGTGCACACCAAAATGATCCTCACAGTAGCCACCATCATGAGTGTGACCAGCAAAGAAACACACTACACACTTGTGAGACCAGATGACTGCCAGAGCATCTCTGTAGTTCCAGGCCAGGCACACATTGTCGGAGGCCTCTGGGTAAATGGGAAGATGGCCTGTTAATTTAAAAAAAAAAAAAAAAAAAAAAAATTGTGAGCCAATTAAGAAATGTTTTACATTAAAAAAATAATAGTACTTACAAAAAAAAAAGTGTATTGCTACCTCATCCAAATGGACTGAGACCACAGAAAGTCCACATATGTGAAGTAGTAGGCTATCAACACCCGGATCTCTGGAGCATAGAAAGGAGGGTAAAAGTTTGCAAATGAGGTGGGAAAAGCTACTGAACAGGCAAAATCTTGAGATCGCTGAGGCCTATATATAGTATCAAGTTGCACAAACACCAAGGAAGATCAAGGGCACTTATGCCAAGAAAGTCTGCAAAAGCAGCCAGAAATCAGGCAGATGCTGTGCAGGAATTCAATTTTATTGAATTTCTTCAACACAAATGTTATATATACAGAAAGATATAGTACTAATAAAAGAACAGTTTAGGGACTGACTATGGATTATGTGTCATTTAAATAAACAATGCCACAGAACTGAATCACAAGACTTTGAAYACCCCCATGAGATCAGGTGGCCATATCTAATTCACAGATAAGAAAACTGATTAAAGCAGGGAGGATTATATCGGGCCCCACAGGAGATATGTGGAAGTAGAGCCAGGAGAATTTGAATCCCTAATGTCAACACATCTGTAAGTCTAGACCACACAATCAGGCCACAGTTTCACTTTGAAGTTCAGATATCATGGCTCATTGATCTCTGCTTCTTCCCAGTAAATCGTTTCTTTGTCCTGCTACTGTTCATTTTTATTCTGAAATTTAAACATGCTTTTGCTTATTATGTACTTATAATACAAGTAAAGGGGGTGAGGGTAACAGAACCCTAAAGCAGTTAAGAACACATGGGTGCGAGCACATGCCCATCCACACACACAGTAACTGTGTTAAGGTCTAAGAGGCCAAAGAGGCTGTGTAGAAGCCACACTGACTTACCTATCAAATTACACAATTGGTTGCCCCCTTCTCCTAGAAGTACTCAGTTCCCCAGTATCCTGTCAGGAGTGTCCAAATGCTTAGTCCTTGAAGTTCTTTATCTATACCTAATGCATTGGTGATCTTTCATTGATTTATATAGCTTTAAAAATCATCTATAATCTTTCAACTCCCACATTTATATGATAGATAGCTTAAGCCTCTGTGCTGAATTTCAGACTCTGAGGTCTAAATTACCCACTCAGTATGTTCACTAATGTATGACATGCATATTATATCTAATAGACATCTCAAACAGTGGTTCCAAACAGGCCCCTGGCCCTCTCCACCCAAACCTCCTTGTCCTGCAGTGTCTCCCATCTCAGCTAATGGCAATTCTGTCCTTCCAAGTGAATGGCCAAAACTCAAAATAACTTCTGAGTACCCACAA